TGATGATCCATCTCGTGTACATCATGCGTTACCTTTTGAAGGTCAACTTCCCGTTATGAATCCTCCTGTAATGACCGGCAGTAAAGTACATCAACTATATGGTGAAGTCAAACAGGTTCTTGAATGTATTTTAGACGGTTATGACAATCAAGCTATGCTTCATAACAGTGTCAAGGAATTGATGGAATTGTTAAGAGATCACGAACTACCTTATCTGGAATTTCATTCAGTATTGTCAACACTTTCAGGTCGTATTCCTACAAAACTTGATCTCTCTCTACAACAATTATCAAATGAAACACACTCCCAAGGATTTGACTTTCCTGCAAAACAATTAAAAAATATGATCGATAATTATATAGCTAATTCAGTTAAGCATAATGATATTGCTATTTTCAGATCAACAATCACACCATTAAATGATATCATTGATCGCTATGTTTCTGGCTTGAAAGTGCGCGAGTGGTCAGAAATAATATATTTTTTGAATAAATATCATGAAGTTGAAGTTTTGTTTTCAGACATCTCTGATAAACGTGAAGAAGAAGTCATTCTTTCCCTACGTGATAAGTTTAAAAATGATATGGATAAGGTTATCTCAATAGTTCTATCTCATTCAAAAGTCGGAGCAAAAAATAATTTGGTCCTTAACCTTCTAGATCAGATCAAACCTTCTAGTCTTGGACAAGCACTTGACAAATTTTTCTCTCCTGTTCTTAAAAAATTGGCTGAACTTGGTGGGAGGTTTACAACAAAAGTTGCATTAAAGGCCCGTGAATTACTAATTCAATGTCATCTGCCCTCATACGAAGAAAGATATACACAAATGGAACAAATACTAAGAGCCGCAGTTATTGAAAAACATTACGGTGATGATGGTTACGATTATCGAATGCCGAGTTATGATTCCCTGAAAGAATTAATTGATACAAGATTTGCAGTTTTTGATGTTCTACCAAATTTTTTTTACCATAATGATCCTTGGATAGGGCTTGCTGCTTTAGAAGTGTATGCTCGTCGAGCCTATCGAGCCTATCAAGTTGTAGACGTTGAATATTATACTGATCAAGTTCCATTCATGGTTTCATGGCATTTTTTATTACACAGTACCAATTTTGCAATTCCCACTACACCAAATTCAAGAAATCCGCAGTTTTATATGAGGCGTTCTGGTTCAATATCAGATTTAAGTTATTTAGTTCCACGTACACCAGAAAATGAGCCTCTTCGTATCGGTGCAATGGTTTCTTGTTCCTCTAATGAAGAAATCGAAACAAACTTGCCTGGAATATTAAATATCTTCCCAAAATTAAGTGAGATCAAAGGAAACAACCAAGATTCAATGGACAGTAATCATTTCAATAATGTTTTAAATATTGCTTTAAGATTAGGTGGTGATGATGCTGATGATGACGAATCATTGAAACAACGCATTCAACCACTTATTCAACGTTATTCCTTTGAACTTCGTGAACATGCGATACGTCGCATAACTATTGTTTTGTTCCGTAAAGGTCAATATCCTGGTTATTTTACATTTCGTGAAGCAAATGATTTCACAGAGGATCAAACTATACGCCACATTGAACCTGCTATGGCTTACCAACTTGAATTGGCTAGACTGTCAAATTTTGATATCAAACCCTGTTTCACCGATAATCGACAAATCCATGTATATTTTGCAGTTGGAAAAGAAAATACTTCTGATTGTCGTTTCTTCGTCCGAGCTTTAGTACGTCCGGGAAGGTTGCGTAATAGTGTTCAAACAGCTGATTATCTTATTTCTGAATCTGATAGACTTTTAAATGAAATTTTGGATTCTCTTGAGATCATTAGCTCCGAATATAAAAATTCAGACTGTAATCATCTTTTTATTAATTTTATTCCTATCTTTGCCTTGGAACCTAGACAAATTGAAGAGGCAGTTAAAGGTTTTATTGAAAGACATGGTAAAAGATTATGGAGACTACGTATTACCGGAGCTGAAGTTCGCTTCAAAGTTGAAGATCCAACACAAAAAAGTCATTATCCTCTACGTGTTATTATAAATAACGTTTCTGGGTATGTTGTCAAAGTCGAGGCTTATCAAGAAGTTAAGACCGATAAAGAAAATTGGATTCTTAAATCTATTGGTAAACAAGGTTCAATGCATCTACAATCAATCCATACTCCTTATCCAATAAAAGAATGGTTACAACCACGTCGCTATAAAGCTCATTTGATGGGTACTACATATGTATATGATTTTCCTGAATTGTTTCGTCAAGGTATTCGAACTCAATGGAATCGAGCAGCTCATAATAACCCTAAACTTAAATGTCCCAATGATGTTCTTGAAGCAAAAGAGCTTGTCCTCGATGAAAATGATACACTTCAAGAGGTTGATCGAGCACCTGGAACCAATTCATGTGGCATGGTAGCTTGGACATTTACACTTTTTACACCAGAATATCCAAAAGGGAGAAAAATTATAGTTATTGCAAATGATATTACATGTCAAATTGGTACATTTGGCCCAGAAGAAGATCGTTTTTTTTATAAAGCTACTCGACTTGCAAGAGAAATGGGAATCCCGAGAATTTATCTTTCGGCCAATTCTGGTGCCAGAATCGGTTTGGCTGATGAAATTATTGATCTTTTTAATGTTGCATGGATTGATAAAGAAAATCCAACAAAAGGCTTTAAATATCTTTATCTTGATTCAGAAACTTACAAGCAATTAAATCAAAATGATAGGAAATCTGTTATTGCAGAAGAGATAGTTGAGGAGGACGAACTAAGATACAAAATAACAGACATAATTGGTATTAATGATGGTCTTGGAGTGGAATGTTTAAAAGGTTCAGGTTTAATTGCTGGAGAAACTTCGCGTGCTTATGAGGATATATTTACCATTACTTTGGTTACATGTCGTTCAGTTGGTATACATTTTAAACATATTTATTTATTTATTTGTATTCATTAATTTATTGATAAAAATAATATAAAATTTCTTATATCAGGTATTGGAGCTTATCTAGTTCGTCTTGGACAACGTACAATACAAAATGAAGGACAACCCATAATTTTAACAGGAGCACCTGCTCTTAACAAAGTGCTTGGTCGTGAGGTTTATACATCTAATCTTCAACTTGGTGGTACACAAATCATGTTTAAAAATGGAGTATCCCATCTTACTGCACATAATGATTTAGAAGGCATTACAAAAATAGTTCAATGGCTATCTTTTGTACCTGCAACAAAAAATTCTCAAATCCCTATATCTGTAAATTCCGATCCTTGGGATCGTGATGTTGATTATATTCCACCTAAAGGTATATATGATCCACGCTGGTTAATCACGGGAAAAACTGAAGTAGAAGGTGATTCTAGTATATGGATTAATGGGTTTTTTGATCGCGGTTCATTTGTAGAAACTTTAAGTGGATGGGCCAGGACCGTGGTAATTAAAAAAAAATTTTTTTGTTTATTTAATCAAAATTATGATTTTCTTAATAATAATAATAATAATGTAACGTATGTATGTATATATATATATATATAATAACAACTAATAAAGGTTGTCGGCCGTGCAAGACTTGGCGGGATACCTATGGGCGTAATTGCAGTTGAAACACGTACAGTAGAGCATATAGTACCAGCAGATCCAGCAAATTCTGAATCTCATCAACAAGTAATGATGGAGGCAGGTCAAGTATGGTATCCCAATTCAGCTTATAAAACAGCACAAGCAATAAATGATTTCAATAAAGGCGAACGATTACCTTTAATAATATTTGCAAATTGGCGTGGATTTTCTGGAGGACAACGTGATATGTTTCAAGAAATATTAAAATATGGTTCATATATTGTTGATGCATTAACAAATTATAAACAACCAGTTTTTGTGTATATTATACCTAATGGTGAGCTTCGTGGTGGAGCATGGGTAGTAGTTGACCCAACAATAAATAAAGATATGATGGAAATGTATGCAGACATACAGTCTAGAGCGGGTGTATTAGAACCCGAAGGTCTTATAGAAGTGAAACTCAGAAAACCACGACTTCTCTCAATCATTGAAAGATTGGATGAACCTTATAGGAATCTCAAAAAATCATTAGAAGATCCTAAACTTTCAGATAATCAAAAGGAAGAGATAAAAATGATTTTAGATGCTCGTGAACATGAATTACTATCTATATATTCCCAAGTCGCATTACAATTTGCCGACTTACACGACACACCAGGTAGAATGAAGGCAAAAGATACCATAAGAAAAGCTTTAGAATGGAAAAATGCCAGGAGATTCTTTTATTGGCGATTAAAAAGAAGACTACATGAGGAATATGTGTATAAACAATTGATTGAGGCAAATCCTTCTCTTACAAGAGAACAAATGAAACAATATTTAATCGATTGGTTTAAACAAGATAAAAGAACAGAATTAGATTGGGAGGATTCTGATATGAAGATTGCTTTATGGTTAGATGAATTTGTTGATGAATTTAATAACGAACATGCATTAAAAAATAATATTAATCAAAAGAACAACATCGATGATCACAACAACAATAATAATAAACTATCAATTAATTCAATGAATTATAGAATTGAACAAGTAAGGTCAGAAGCCATTACACAAAAGGTTATGGAGATGTCTAATATTTCATCAAACGCGGTAATAAATGGTATAGAAAATTATTTAAATAATCTAAATCGAGGAGAAAGAGAGAAAATAATTAAAACATTAATAGATAAAACCAATAAAAAATAACAATAATACAGAAATAAGGACCAATCTTCCTATATTAAAAATTAATCATTGTCATCATATAATCATCATCACTATCACCACCATCATAAAATTAGTCTAATTTTTTAGAAATAAATTTTTTTATATTGTAATTTTTTTTTTTTCGAATTTTGTATATTATTTGTAATTTTTTATTTTAAAGTAAATATTTTATTTACTAAAAAACTAAATAAAATTTTTATTATTTAACAAATTAATCAATCTACTATATCTTTTTATTATTATAGAGTGTATTTCCTAATTTCCTTCGTTTTCTCCCTACTAATAATTCCTCAAGGCTTTCACTACCTGATTCTATTATATCGTAAGATACTATTTTACTCCTTATTTGTGGTTCATATTCTTCTAAACTTTCACAACCTGAATCTATAACAATATAACATTTATGTTTTCTAAATTTAGAATGTTTTTCCTTTTTCTTTAAATTAGATGTATTAGATGTAATTTCTGAAGATGATAGAAATGATCGATTAAGCTCATTTTTATCTTGTATATTAGAATATTTGCTGTTATATATTGAACCTTCGTCGCCAGAATACTCGTCATCTGTCATATATAATTCTTCTGATTCAAAATCTTTACATAGTCCATCAATGTTATAATCTATATGCGATGAAAAATCTTCTTTATTATATAAAAGTTCTTCTGAACTTGTGTCATCCAACATAATATCAATGGTAGCAGCATCTAATTTCCATGTATGATCATCGTCATTGTCATTGTCATTAACATCTAATTCTGTGTCTTTTCCTTTTTCTCCATCCAAGCAAAATTCTGTAGATTTGCCAGAACATTCACCTAATACACGTATGTTGTCATTTTGAATTATGCCACGATTAATTATTATTTCTTGCGTTATAAGATCTATCACATCTGCTTCCTCGTCACTCACATCCTGATACCGTTTAATAATTCTAGCCCAAGATGATTTGAGACGACAATGATTTTGAAATCTCATGTAATCCAAAGAATTATCCATCATTTGCTTTTTATAATTGATTTTTTTATTTTATTTTAAGAAAATTTTAATATAGTTTTAATCTTTTGCATTATTTTGATATAAAGAATGCACGCATTAAAAAAGAAAGTTAAAATTTGATATTTATTATCAATGAATTTAATAAATAGATCTACCCAAATATTGGTTTCACAATTTTCATGTGTCATATTACCAAAATTGTGATCTTTTGCAAGTGAACAGTTATAATAATTATTTGATTATTTATATTAATTTTTTTATTTAATTTAATAATATTAAGATTATAGGGAAAAAATGCAAAATTAAATACAATAATTCAATATTTGATATTTGTAAGTAGAAACAATTTATTTTTTGTAAAAAAAAGTAATGTTTTTTATAATTATGATTCAGTCTGAGATTTAATACGACGTTTATTCTTAGTTACAGGAATAAACCCATCATCATCATCGTCATCTTTTGTTGTAGCGTGTGAAGCTTTATTATGTTCATCTGCTGTACGGCCTGAATTTGATCTACGCCATGGACCATCATCAGCAGCACCTGAATCTTGTCTGCTACGCCAAGAACCGTCATCAGTACCACGACTTGTACCTGTTTTACGCTCAGAACCACGGCTTGAATCTTGTCTACTACGCCAAGAACCGTCATCAGTTGATCTATGTGGATCTGGCTTACGTATTATTCCTGGCTCAGTTCGGAGTGTATCGGTATCAATTGTATTGCTACGAACTGTCTCACCCCTTCGCCATGTTGTTTCTTCAGTACGACGGCGTTGTGGTTCTTCGATATTGGCACCACGACCTGATGCTACTCTACCCTGTGATTTAATTGGTGATTGTGATGTAGATTCTAATTGCTTACGAAGTGCAGGTGGAATGTAACTACTTTTGGGAGCGGATATTTTTTCTTGAGCATCTTGAGCCTTTTTTTTTTCTTTATCTTCCATTTGTTGTCTTTCAAGATCTTTTGCCTTTTGTTCCAATTCACGTTTTAATCTTCTTTGTTCAGCTTCTTCCTCACGCTCGCGTTGCTTGGCAGCTTGTTCGTCAAGTTTCCTGATTTAATGAAAATTGATATGGTAATCAGGATCTTAAACAAACGATAATAAAGTTAATTTCAGGGGAAAAATAATAATTACCTTTTCTTAGCTTCATATTCTGCCTTTTGAGCTTTTTCTTTTTCTTGACGTTCTGCTTCTGCACGTTCCATTTCTTCATAACAAGTAAAAAAATTTAGATTATAGTTGTAAAAAAAGTTTTTAAAAAATTAATCGTTAATTAAAAACCTTCAATATGTCTTTTTTCTTCTTCTATCGCCTTTATTTTGGCTGCTTCTTCTGCCTCTTTTTTTTTTCTTTCATCTTTTATGCTTCTATTGTTATTAATATTCCAGTTGATTGTACGTTTGTTAATACCAAAACATAGAAGATCTGCATGATTTAAAAAAAATTTTTTTTTTTATTGTACATGAATACATGAATAAATACAGGCGTATTCAAAGGATTATGCAACCCAACACCCCAAATATTACTAATTTTTCCACTATAATAAAAAGGTATTAGTATGTTTTAACACCATGAAACTGGTATTACTACTAACTATTATAGGATTAGTTTCAATTAATTGATTTCATACAAATTCATTATTAATTAAATTAATTATGAAACTAATTGATTTTTTTTCAAAATAAAAATGCAACAAATCTTAATTAAAAAATTATTGCATATAATAATTATTACTAACATTTATACTATAACTAATTACCACTGGTAGAAATTTTTAGTTTTGATAATGTTTTGACCAGTGATCTGATTGGTAAAATGTGAAGTAATTGGTTAAATACTGATAGAATAAACTACATTTATCTTTGTCAAAATTAACAAAAATACATTTCATAAAATTAAAACGCATTCGAATTGTCTTTAGTGCCCGAGTTTGAAACAACATGGGCAAGTCAATGTTGGTATGTAGAGCAACTTTTACATAGCAAACGCATAGTAATATATTATTATTATTAAACGCGCTTGAGCTGTATTTAATGACCGAGTTGGAAGTACATACATGCTGATCCATATTGATACGTAGAACGACTTTTAGATAAGACAAGTTTGGGTACAGATTTTGTAAGTCTTAATTTGAAGTTTTGAAAGTGATAAAAAGAAAAAAAAATAATAATGCTAAATAGTTTTATTGTTGAATCATTAGAAGTTGTAGTGTACCGAGTATGAAAAGGGCGTGATAATAGTAATAGACATTTATAATTATTGTGTTCGGAAAGAACGAATCAACAATTGAAACGAATTTCTCCCCACCCCCGTATTTAATTATAGATTTCAATTTCGCACGATTTAAATTTACATACAACGATAATATAAATAATTTTCAGAGAATGCTATCAAGTCTTTCCTAACATTCTTCCACCCATTTTAGGACCTTCGAATACAGGGTCAATATGATCTTATTATCTTAAATATTACACCGATGGGCGAAAACCCAATGATGATGCGACTTTAATTTCGTTCATGGGTATTTTTGATTGCCCATGTAGGTTTTTATCATGTCATGTGTAAATATTCAATACAACTTTTGTTAAAAATTGTCTCAACTGCTCATGACAAATCTATGCAACCTAAACTATGAAGATGTTTAAAACCAAATGCATGCAAAAAAATATTACATTGGAAATATTAAATATTTATAGTATCCATTAAATCCTTCAAAAAAAAAAAAAACTTTAATTTATCTTTAAAGATTCTTGGAATATAATAATAAATTTCCTTAGGCGCCAAAATAAATATTACACAAAGATTATAAAGAAAATTTGAAATTGCACAAATTTAGAAATAATTACGTATATTTGTAGAGGTTTAATGCTTTTATAAATTAATATAAAATGCAGCATAAAAATCACAGTCTCCATTTTATATCTTAAAAAATGGGAATAGTACCTTCAAAATTTAAAATAAGGAATAATTCAAATAGCTCAAATATTTGTCCAAAAAATACAATTCTCTCAAATGTAAATGATCATAATAATAAATTATGTAATAATAAATCAAATCAAATAAATATTTCTAACGTTGAAACGAATCATTCTTCTTCACATCCATCTTCGTCATTTCAGACCAATATTTATCATTATCCGATTTCTATAACAGAAGATCACCGTATAATAGACGGAAGGATATTTCATAATAAAGATAATGCCCCTTATTTCTTCCCAACCGATAATATTGAAAACTCAAGATCAAATTTATTACATGAAGTCGTCATACAAAAGTGGGGAAATTATCACTCGGCCCCCGTAGAAAAAAAATTAAAATATGGCGCTGCTAGAGTTCTAGATGCCGGGTAAAATGATCAAAATTATAATTTTTAGATATAATATAGTTGTTGATATTAATTGATTGATTTTAATATACGCTTTATAGTTGTGGTACAGGAATTTGGATATTTGAATTGGCAAAAATGTATCCAAATTCAACATTTATTGGTGTTGATATAACAATTTCTTTCACACCAAACAATTATCAAAAACCTAGTAATGCTGCATTTCTTGAATCCAATTTACTCGAGGGCTTACCATTTCCCGACAATACTTTTGATTATATACATCAACGTCATATGATAACTGCATTCACTGAATTACAATGGCCGGGTATATTAAAAGAGTTGGCCAGAGTTTTAAAACCCGGAGGCTATTTGGAATTATGTGAATACGAAATTCATGTAAATTCTTTCATTGATATTGGTAAAAGGTTTCATAATGCTAGTAAGTAGGAAATATATTTTTTTAATTGAATTGAATTGAAATTTTTCCGAAAGAAAAATAGTAATAATTCGATTTTTTGATTATAGTTAGAGGTTTTTTTTTCACAAACGGCCATACAATAGATTTAGCATTGAAATTACCAAAACTTTTAGAAAATACCAAAGAATTTGAATCAATCAATGGATTTGAAATATTGGTTGAAGTAGGTTCTTGGGGTGGAGAATGTGGTGAAAAGGTAAATAAATAACTTAACATAAATAAAATATTTGCGTGATGACATTTTATTAATATAAACACTATTATATTTGTTCAGACCCTAGAAACAGTGATCGCTACGTGGGAAACATATCAAAGAATTATTCAAGCTAAACTGAAAATTAGCGATCAAAATTTTAAAAAATCAATCGACAATTTTCGTCTTCAATCTGAAGATCCAAATGTTAAAATGTTTGCCAAAAGTCATCGTGTTTATGCTAAGAAAAAGTAGAAGAAAAGTTTTAATAGAATTAATATTTTTCTAAAGTTACGATTCATTCATCTATTGTATTATTTGTAAATATTTTAGTCTTTGGATATTGGGAAATTTTCAATACAATTTATATTTTTCACTTTTGATGTTGCATAAATAATCATTATAGTTACACGAATCTGTCCAAATTTTGGGGGAGATTTTATATTTTCGTGTGAACTTCTTGTGAATCTCAAAAAAAGAATGTAATCAAATCTCATTTTTTTTTTTTTTTTTTAAAATGGTTAAATTTTTCATTTTTTATTTTTATAATATTATTAAATATATCAATTAATTAATGATTACGAATATTTCTTAAAATTATATTTAACCCAGTTTTCATTATATTATTTTTCATCATTCATTGTATTTTTTGATTGCATTTTTTTTTTCTTTTTAATTGACTCACTTTCTCATTTGTCTCTTAATTTTCAATCATTAAAAATATATAGATTTTATTGATTAATTAATAAATTGTTATATACAAAAATAAATAAATAATTAGACAGATCTATAGATAATTGGATAAAATATTAATAATTGATAATGATACCAACATTAACAGTTTCTCCTGATATAGTGATAGGTGGTAATAATTTACAAAGCTCTCCTAGAGGTCCCGTTAGAGATTTTGTTGAAAAACATAATGGTCACACTGTTATTACAAAAATTCTTATTGCCAACAATGGTATTGCTGCTGTAAAAGAAATTCGATCAATCAGAAAATGGGCCTATGAAACTTTTGGTGACGAACGCGCCATTCAATTCACAGTCATGGCTACGCCTGAAGATTTGAAAATTAATGCCGAATATATTAGAATGGCTGATCAATACATTGAGGTTCCCGGTGGCTCCAACAATAACAATTATGCTAATGTTTC